CTAGCTGGGTCTATCTTTTCCTATTTCATACTTATGACGACTCTGAACTTATGGTTTTCATCAACCCACCCTTGGTGGCATCTTGTCATCCTGGATAGTATTATGTTTTATGTATATTATATGTCACATTTCTCTTGCTTGATCAAGTCTGCTAATTAGATTTCTCCTTCACAATATGCAGGTCTTCCGATCAAGGAACTTCTGGTACGTACTGGATCTCAACTTCTAAAGAATTTCGTTAAACTACTACACCTTAGATTACCTATCCCACATAGCAGCTTTATCTTATAACTCATTACTATTGTCCGGTTCGATTCTTAAAGTAATCTGTTGAATTCATCCAGGTCAACCGACAGCCACGTGTGCCTATGATGTCTACTGCTTTGGGAAAGTCCTTCTCGAGCTAGTGACAGGAAATATCGGCATTAGTGCTGCAAGTGATGCCCAACTGAAGGAGTGGCTAGAACAGATCATCCCCAACATAAGCATGTACGAGAAGGAACTCGTTGTTAAAATCGTGGACCCATCTCTAATCATCGACGAAGATCTCCTGGAGGAAGTTTGGGCCATGGCTATAGTAGCAAGGTCATGCCTGAACCCCAAACCTTCGAGACGGCCCCTAATGAGATACATTCTCAAGGCATTGGAAAACCCTCTGAATGTAGTGAGAGAAGAGACTACAGAGTCTGCAAGGCTAAGAACATCCTCGAGAGGGTCATGGAATGCTGCTGTATTCGGTAGCTGGCGTCAGGCATCTGATGTAACGGTGGTACCTCCAACAGCTTCCACCAGCCGGCAGCCAGAGGGAGGGGGCAGTTTTAAAAGGTCAACAACGTCGAAGTCAAACTCACAGTCGCAGGGGAGTGGTGGTGGGCAGAATGGTGGGGGTGGTGATCATTCTTCTTCACACAGACGGCATTCCAGGGATATTTTCCCCGAACCAGCCGAAGGCCAACAAGATATAGAGAGGCAAGAACACGAGTAGGGACGCACGAGAGAGTGAGAGAAATGTAGATGTGGGTAATGGAGATTCTTTGTTAATAAGATGGCAGCAGCAGCAGCAGCAGGCTTTCCTATTTCAGAGTGCCTGCTTGCTTGCTTGCTGGGTTTCCCTGGTGTGGATGAGTCATATTTTGTGGGGGTTTTTTGGTTGCCTTGGTGGTGAAGGAATTAAATTTCAGAGGCTGGTTTTTGTTTCATGGCAGTGATTTGAGGGTTTGATGGGAGATCACTGGTGCAGCAAGTCAACATTATTTGTTTGGCAGTTTAACGGTTATTGAACAGAGCTGCCATTTTTTTTCTTCTTTTTGAGTTCTGTAAGTGGGGTTTCTTTGTTCTTTTGTTGTTTCTTCTTTTAGTGGGGCAGTCTTTGGTGCTCTGCAATCATTGTAAAGGTGTAAACTTTGTTAAGAATCTGATGATACTGAAATTGGGTGGGGGATTCTCAGGGGTTCTTCTTAAGTTATCTCTTGGAGGGGGAAAAGATATCGTGGAAAATAACAGACAAAAGAGCAGATTTGTACACTTGTTAGTTTCCTGTTCCTGTTGTTTTTATCATGTGCTTGAGTTTTGGTAATTATGCTACTCCTTCCTTACAAAGAAGAAAGACTAGCTGAGAATTGATGGGATTTGAATTCATTTCCATATCCTTGTTCGTATTTGTCATTGCTCAACGAATAATTGAAGGAGAAGAAGAACATACAAGTTGGAAACTCGTAAGATTCAAATTGATTATTTTAGAAGACAGGATGGAAGTTCATGAAATTTGAACCGACTACTTAACTGTCACAATCTCGTTACTGATATAGCTAAATCGATTAGGACAAGGAGAAATAACAAATAGAGAAGTGAGAACTCATAAGATTATAAATTTAGAATTGACCACTTCAAATGATAGATTGAAATTCCGCAAAATTTCACATCATTACCTGAAACTAGCGATTCTATATTGATACCTCTAGACCAGAAAATGAAAAGAAAAACAAGTAAACTGAAAATTTATAGAACTCAAACTCACTATCAGAAAATCATCAATTTATCATCCTCTCGTTGATATTGCTAATCAATAACACTTTCGAAAAATATTTTTAGCACATATGAAGGGATTGTTGCATGTTATTTGTTGAATACATGAATTTGGCTTTTTAGCCAAACGGAGCAGAAAAATTGAAAAAAAAGAAAGGTCCCACCGAGATTTGAACTCGGGTTACTAGATTCAGAGTCTAATGTCCTAACCACTAGACCATGGGACCTTGTTGATATAAATGTTGTCAACAGGAGTTAATATTCATTAATGATCTCCAAGCTGACGTCAATCTCCCCCTATCCGTTGCTTTCCTTTCTTGCCGCTCCAATACCACACTGCCATTCTGCAACCATGCTCTCTTGCCCGCACTACCACTCCTCCTTCCACCTCCACCGCAATCCCATCGCCGCCGTTACCGTCACCACCGCCGCCTTCTCCATCTCTGCCTCTCTCCCACGCCGCCATAATGCCCAATTCTCCAACGATTCCTCCCCGGCGGCGACCAACACCAACTCTCCTCCCCCTCCGCCACAGCCAAAGGACCCAATTCTCCGCACACACAACGCCAAAACCGCTTCCCTCCTCTCCCGCCACCTACAACTCGATTCCCCTCCTGCTGCTATTTCCCAGCTCCCCGAATTCCAGCAGCAGGTCTTCCCTCCCGAGGAGCAAGTGAAGCGTCAAGAGCTCTCTCTCGTGGCCACCAGGCGAGCTCCCAGGTTCCCCGGCTCCGTTTCCTTCGACTCTCCCACGGCTTCCCTCTCTCCTCTTCAAACCCTGTTCGTCAAGGAAACAGGATCTGCCGACGACGACGAAGACGATGATGGTGGCGTGGACGACGAGACGATAATCAAGGCCGTCGAGATCCGCAGGAAAGTCACTGCCGAGATTTTCCAGCAGGCGATGAAGAGGGGGAAATTCGGGCTGACGTATGCCTCCAATTTGGCTGCCAAATTGGGGGATTTCCTCGATTTCGTCATGATCGAGGCCGCGGAGATGAAGAAGTTGCGGCAGTTCGAAGGTTCCAGCTTCAATCTTCGAGCCAAGATCGTAATTGAAGAACTGGAAGTTGTGTCACTTATCAGGTATTGGCTGATGGAATTCTTGAGTTTGGTGTCAATTGACGTGCCATTAGGGTTTGGTTTGAAGCACAATGAGTTGTGAATTGTGATTGCAGAGTTGTGATTCTAAGTGCAGGTGGTTGAAGCACAATGAGCTGTCCTATCCCAAGATAGCTAAGCTCATAAACATGGCGAGAGGACGGCTCGACACTGTCAAGCGGCTTGCTGTCTGGCTGAAGACGATTCATGTGAAAGGTGAGTTTCTGGGGCCTGTGCTGACCAAAGCAGGGGGCAATATTTTGGAAAGGAGCATTGAGGAATTGGATGAAATCGTCGAGTATTTGGAGAGCAATGGTGTGAAGAGAGATTGGATGGGGTATGTAATGAGTCGATCTCCGTCATTGTTGTCTAACACCATGGAAGAAGTGAGGGCTCGAGTTCGTTTTTTCTTGGAGATGGGTATGAATGAGAAGGATTTTGGGACAATGGTGTTTGAGTATCCTAGGGTCCTTGGCTATTACAGTCTTGAGGAGATGAACCAGAAGGTGGGGATAAAAAAAAAAAAAAAATCGATTTGATGGTTTCATGTTTTTACACAAGAGCTATTGAGTTGGTGATACATTTTTTTGGTTCATTCAGGCTGATTATCTGAAGGAGTTTGGGATCAGTCATCAAGATGTTGGAAAACTCCTAGCATTTAGACCACAGTTGATGGGCTGTAGCATTGAGGAGACATGGAAACCTCTTGTTAAGTACTTTTACTATCTTGGAATATCCAGAGATGGTATGAGGAGAATGCTTATGATCAAACCGATGATTTTCTGTGTCGATGTCGAGAAGACCATAGTGCCAAAGGTACACATGTTTGAGAATGAAGCTCTCAGTGGTCATATTATGCATAAACTTTGAACAAGCATTAATGAATTGTACTTCTGAAGGTACGGTTTTTTCAAGACATCGGGATTCAGGATGATGCGATTGGAAATATGCTCGTCAAGTTCCCTCCGTTGCTAACCTACAGCCTGCACAAGAAGATCCGGGCAGTGGTTTGTCCTCAACTCATGTAACTGACTTCTGTGGATAACCAATGCTCTCTTACTGAAAGATGGTGATGGAATGTGGGTTATGATGCACAGGTAATATTCCTGATGACAAGAGGTGGGGTGAGCGAGAGGGACATCGCCAAGGTTATAGCTTCAGGGCCCGAGCTCTTAGGGTGTAGCATAGTGCATAAGCTCGACATCAATGTCAAGTATTTCTTCTCCCTTGGTATACGCCCTCATGTGCTGGGGGAGATGGTTGCAGACTTCCCCGTGTTGCTGCGGTACAATGTGGAAGTCCTCCGTCCAAAGTATCGGTACTTGAGGCGGACTATGGTTGGCAGCTTGCAAGATGTAATCGAGTTCCCAAGGTATGAGAAACTCCAGACACGCGTGGATACTCGGAAAACGAATACCTTCCATTTACCAATGTCGTTCTGATGTTTTTGTTGCAGGTTCTTCAGCTACTCACTTGAGGATCGGATAATGCCGCGGCATAAGGTATTGGTGGAGAAGCAGATAAACATGAAACTGAGGTACATGCTAGCATGTAGCGACGAGGAGTTTGAGAGGAAGGTGGAGGCTATTCTGGAGAAGAGACGAAGTTTAGAAGCCGCTCGACTAGATCAGAAAGATGAGCATGTAGGCTCCCTCCAATTATCATGAGCTGGATGAGATGATGGACTTGGAATGAGGGCTACCTGTTCCAGTATAGGCTGTTCTCTACTAGCTCCGAACCGGGGTTTGGGATCTACTGTTAGTCTGTTATCACCATTCCACACCCTTCATGTACATAAAAGAACTTCAAGAGCTAACTTGATACATTCAAAATGCACCACATTGGATTCTAGATGAAATCCACATTAGAAATGCCCCTAGTTACACCAGAAGACTCGGCTAATTCTCTTCAGATAATAAGATTATGACGAAAAATTATTGAGGTAATACCGGAACTTGCACCTAGAGAATCACCAAGTGCCCTCCCAACAATTACAGGGCTAAGCATAACTTCACGATCAAATATCAAACTACAACGGTGGAAATCTGAATAGCTTTCAGTCCCTACATGCAGATCCTTTTATTCTCCATCTTCAAATTCAGGTGAACAACTGGCTTGAAATGGCACTCTCAGCGACAGACTCTCAGACCTGAGGTTCTTGCCACTCTCAGCGATAGAGACTCTCAGACCTGAGGTTCTCGGCAATCTCAGTTTCCCAACGGTCACCATTCTCGAGCAGCTTCTCCTTGTCGTACAAAAGCTCCTGTGACAATTCAATTCCACATTTTTAGGGCATTGCCTCCCTCACTGGTGTCTAAGGTTACTACGGTTAAAAGCATATGGTCCAAACCTCGTGGGTTTCGGTGGCAAATTCGAAATTTGGTCCTTCGACAATGGCATCAACAGGACAAGCCTCCTGGCAGAATCCACAGTAGATGCACTTGGTCATGTCAATATCATACCTGCCATAGAAATCAAGTGTAAGAAGCAGGGGGGGGGGGGGGGGGGGGGGGGGGAAGAAAAATTATATTGCCCACTACAAAGAGGAGAGACAGAAAGACAGTGAGCAACAGTCTCACCGAGTAGTCCTACGGCTTCCATCTTCTCGTTCCTCTGCCTCAATTGTGATCGCTTGTGCAGGGCAAATCTGGAAACAGTTAAGAGTTATGGGTCAATGGACACAGTTCGCTCACGGGGCAGTTGTTTATCATAAGATGCGGCAGCCTTTAGTCAACTTGTCACCATATTTAACAATTGAAAATTAGCGCAAGATTTCAGGTTGTGGTTTTTCGAGTCACATACTCCATGCATACACAAAAATGCATCCAATCAGTTCTGAGAGTTGAGTTCGCAAGTTGCCAAAACTAGATACAGGTAACAGAAATTTGCTGGTTTCTAGAGCTAGTGCAGTAACATCATGCAACCACTTCACGGGCTTCATGGTCATGGATCCCAGTTACATCATAACTAAGAGATTGAGTGTCTTATAGAGAAAATTTATAAACCTAAACATTGCATTAGGAGGGTTTCAACTCTTACAGCTTCACAAAGCTTGCAAGCAATGCAACGTTCCTCTCCTGTAGGATATCGGCGGAGAGCATGCTCTCCACGGAACCTAGGACTCAAAGGACCCTTCTCAAACGGGTAGTTGATCTACACAACAGACAGAGAGAGAGAGAGAGATCATCATCATATTAAATCCATCACTTAAGAGTATGTCAGAAATGTGGGGGAGGGTGCAGAAGACACTTACAGTAACTTTTGGCTCAAAGAAGTACTTCAGGGTCAACGACAACCCACGGACCATTTCGGTAAGGAAGAGTGTGTTTATGCTTCTCTCAAACACTGCATTGAGACCAATTGTTAAGTTTACAAGCAAAACACTGGTGACAAAATTTAGAGAACATGTTTATGACAACACATCTTACCAGAATTCCAATCCTTCGAAATTTCCTTTGCAAGTTCCTCTCTCTCTATATCCTCTACATTCACAACAAAGTCGTCAGCAAGAAATAATTCGTATGGAAAACGTCAATTGTGTGACAATAGCTAAAGCACCAATATTGTGGTAGGCAAACAGACTTTGGAAGTTCATGCATTCCTAAGATCACTACGAATGAATCTAACGAAAATTATCAGTCTTCCCATGAGAACGGTTCTTCAAGCATTAAAGGATAAAAAACCCATCCTTCCTCCTATTCTTTGACACACTAGACAAAGAGAGTTTGGACATAGATGAGATGAGAACACAGTACTAATCCAATTATTAGTTTTTCTAATGATTATCCAGCAACATGATGTGTCGAGACTTTAAAAGGATCAATAAATAAAGCCCAAATGTAATCGTCCACCCCTAAATTCATTCTGAGTCATGCATGCTATACCTTCCACCCATTGTGAATATATGGCTCACCTCTGTCTGTTGAATATAAAGCACTGGATCGCATGGCGTACAGAGGTGAGGCCCGCAATGCCTGACCAGATACAACCTGTGAGAAAGGAAGTTTCGAAATGTTATAATATATAGAACCAAGCAACAAAATCTAGTTCAGAACCCAAAAATGAAAAAGTACAGCAAGCAGCCAAGGAAGAAGCAATGAGAAGACATTGAAGGCAACAAAATGCAGGTGTGAACTTATGCATGAAGACATAATTTAAAGGTAGAACATAAGTGACTAGTCTGTAATTCGGACAACCATGGCGAAACCTTTCACCAGTTCTACAACTAGTGAGACTTGTCATACAATAATCTATGTTTGTTTATTTTGCCTTCAGCAGACTAGAAAAGCCATTAACCAAAGAAGCACGTTGTCTCCCTTTGCTACCACATCAAAACAGCAGGTTAACTGTCAACTAATGCAGGTGCACATAGTCCCTTGATCTCATGTTATTTTTAGTTACGAGTGACAAACCACCCCAATTCAGTGCCAATGCAAAAGGTATCCATACAGCCAAGATTTCTAATACTTTACCATGCCACCCATCACCGAAAAGTGACATTCAAGACCGGGGGACAGGTATCGAGCATCAAGAGTAAATTAACCAGTATCTTCTGGGGCATGAGGACCTTTATTGGCTTGAAACACAAACCCAACAGCTGATGATAGGCAGTGTGACTCTATCCTCTGCAAAGTTACCTCCTAGACAAAGACAAAGGGGTTCTAGAAATATTTATTATCAATTACAACCCAGAATCCATGGGTGACCTAATGGGAAGTACCATTGAATTGCACTCCAAGTCGAAAACCGTGAGAGTCAAGGCCCAAAGCGGACAATATCTTGTTCAGTCTGTTAATTCTTTCGCTCTCAACCTAGATGTGATTAGTATAACCAAGTAAAACATTAAAAAAACAATGCTTTTGATTTCCCTGTTCAGCTGAATGATTACTTCAAAGGGTTCTCTCGAAGGCAGACCACTAGCAGCAGGTAGGGCTGCAAATGAGCCAAGCCGCTCGCGAGCAACTCGACGTTCGAATCGAAAAAAACTCGTTCGACACTCGATTCATTATTTAACAAGCCGGCTCGCGAGCCAACTCGTTAGTTAACGAGCCAAGCCTGAGCTAGACCATGCTCAGCTTGATAAGCTCGCGAGCTAGCTTGATTTGGTGGCTTGTCGAGCTAAGCTCGCGAGCTGCCTTGTTTTGAGCTTGTGGAAGGATGAATTACTCTTTTAAACATGAACATTGTCTTCTAATACAGATGTGTATGAAATTTAGATGTTATTTATAGTTTCTAATGTTCTTTCTATCATTTAAATTCTTATGTTTATACATTTTTCTAGCAAAAATGATTTTAAATCGAGCCCATCTTGAGCCGAGCTTGTACTCAGCTTGACAAGCTATGTTAATGAGCATTTATCGAGCTCTACCGAGTCGAGCTCGAGCTAGATGATTTTTATTCAAGCCGAGCTTGAGCTCGAGCTGGATTATCAAAATTCGAGTTCGAGCCGAGCTCGAGCTGACAAAATTAATAAACGAGCCGAGCTCAAGCTAAGCAAAAACTCGACTCGACTCGGCTCGTTTACAGCCCTAGCAGCAGGGCATCTGAGATGAAGGACAATTGGAGGAGTACTGGGAGTGATGAGGATTATGAAAGGCTTCAAGAGTTGATTATCAACAAGGTCTGTTAGCTAGCTATCCAAATCCACCATGTTTAATTTTGGCAACTAATTACTAGTTTTCCCTCTCGCATATGAAATCATGATGATGAGAAATTTACTCTTGGTACCTCAGGTAAAACTGATGAGCATTGAGGAGTTGGCTAGGCTGGATGTACCAATGTAGCAGCGGAAGTAAAATTCAAAATGGAATCCATGTGTGCACTTATTGTCATTGTTCCCCTCCTTGCCTCTAACAAAGACTCTGTATGGAGTGAAAAGAAGAAACAATAAAACGAAGGAGTTAGTTTAACAGTCATGATCTAACAATGACATAATGAAAGGAACTGAGATCTAAAAAAATACGCAGTCTCATCATTACCACTACACCCGAAAATAAAGCATGGGACAGGAGCACGAAGAGGCGGATGAGGTTGATTTTCAGAGTTTCATATCAGAAAATGGGAGAAAGGGGTCTTTTCAGGGATTGAGAGGAGGAGAAACGAACAACAGTAGAAGATGAGTGCATGCCTCTCGGGTTTCGGAGCATGGTCTCTCCTTCTTCGATTAAAGAATTTATAAATGGACTCGTAAAATTAACAATGACATAATGAAAGGAACTGAGATCTAAAATAATACGCAGTCTCATCATTACCACTACACCCGAAAATAAAGCATGGGACAGGAGCATGAAGAGGCGGATGAGGTTGATTTTCAGTGTTTCATATCGAGAAAATGGGAGAAAGGGGTCTTTTCAGGGATTGAGAGGAGGAGAAACGAACAACAGTAGAAGATGAGTGCCTCTCGGGTTTCGGAGCATGGTCTCTCCTTCTTCGATTAAAGAATATATAAATGGACTCGTAAAATTACTTTGCCTTTCCAGCCCTTCCCATTTACTGAAAATCACACTCCCTACCGTTGCCTCGGCCTTGGTAACGCCAACACTGGTTATGGGCAAATGCGACTTTATGAAAACGGTGAAATCTGATTGGGTGACACGCCGCGGAAAGGATTGAAGCTCTTTCACCATCGGATTAAAGGAAAAGTTTAGGAATTGACGGCGGGAGATGGGGATGTGCGTTTAGACTGGCTTTGTAGATTAACTAACTTTTTTGTTTAGCAAAATTAATCTACTGATTTGGTATATGTTATTGTAACCCTAAACCCTAAACCCTAAACTCTAAACCAAACCCTACTACCCGAACCAATCAATACCATATACTCTACAACAATAACACCTTATATCCTAACCAAACAATACCATATATACTCTAAACCATCAACACCTTGCTACCTACCTTATACCCTAACCTTCAATACCTTATAGGCTTATGCTCTAAACCATAAACACCTTTAGACCATCTTCATCCCATTGCTTATTTAGTGGAATCCTAGGTGGCACCACTTTTAAGCAATTGCATGGATGTGGGGGGTCATCCACATCCTTGCAAGGTTTTAGCTATTTCTATTGTGGGGGCCACACATATATGCATGTATAAACAATTCTTCCATTATAAAAAAAAAACTAACATTTCTAAATTATAAAGATAAAATAGAAAAGGTAAATAAAATCCTATGTGGCATTGCAAGTGGAATTGCTTATTTAGCAAGATTGCTAAGTTAGCAATTGGCTCCACATCCTTGCAATTGAATTAGCAATTGCCAAACACATGCCACCTAAGTTTTAGCAATTGCATATGAAAGGGGATGAAGATGGTAGGGATGGAGGAGTTCTTTCTAAACTAGCAAGATTGCTAAATTAGGAATTCTTCTAGCAATACCACATAGATAATTATTTTCTTTTTCTATTTTATTGTTTATTAACTTTTCTTGCCCAACTAAAGTACATAGGTACTTCAAAATTGAAATTCTAACTCTATGTTCAAAACATAAATTAAAAATTGATAGTTGCTAAGTAACGAACCACAAACCTCTACCTTATTAACTCAGCAAACTAAAGTACAATTAACCAATTAAGCTACATGACATTTACAATCATCATGTGAAATTTCGCGTTCTTATTAAGTGAAGGGTTAAAATGAACGGTAAATATATCATAGTGGATTGTTTCTGCTTCGTGGGGGAGTGAGAGAGTGGAAAATGGGGAATTAATGAAGAGTTAAATTGGACGGATTGTCTTTACCACGCCACTACAAAATCCTTCGGAGCAAAAACATGTAGGTTCAAATCAAAGAATAAATGAAGAAAGATGAACTTAAGAACTCTAACTAATTTTCATTCCATATGTGGCGAATTCCTAATGGTCGGGATCACCAACAAGGATAACCCACAAGGCAAAATCATTAATAGGAACCTACCTTGCACACACCAAATTATTTTATCTCGTACCGATAAATGTGTCATGCTACAATAATTATGTCTAAGTTTTTTTAGTAATAAGGCATGATCAGCATTTATAAGCATATATAAAGAAATTATAAAATCGAGAAAAAAATAAAACAACACTTACCCTCACCCTAACCAATCAATACCATATGCTCTAAACCATCAACATCTTATAACCTACCCATATACCATATACTATATACCATCAACAACCTAATACCCTAAGCAGTCAGTACCCATTTCCTTTAACATCAACACCTTATACAACAATCGTATACCTATACGCTGATCAAATTTTACATTTTGAAAATACTTGCCCAACTAAAGTACATAGGTACTTCAAAAGTGAAATTCTAACTTTCGTTTCAAAACATAAATTAAAAAAATATCTTCACTCAGTATCCAACCACAAGCCTCTAATTAGTCTACAAGAGGTTTGTTATGTACGAGTGCATTGCATAAAGAGGGGCAATCAGTGAGAGAGTGGAATAGGGTCAATTAATGAAGAGTTAAATTGGGCGGATTGTAGTTTACCTCGTACCGCTAAATGTGTAAAGAGACACGCTACCATTTACCAAATCCCAAAAAAAGATGGAACACATAATTATGTTTAAATTGCGTGAACTCAAGACATGATCAGGATTTTAGAAGCAGAAGCAGATGAAAATAAAATATAAAATCAAGTAAAACAAAGAACCGCCACTGAGATAGACAATTATCAAAGGCCCAACCTAATGACAATCCGGAACTCAGTATCTATTATCAACAAACTAGGTGCCATGGATCATGTACAAGCCCACTTTTGAATGTTATTTAAAAGTCAGCAAAAATCAATGATCAGACCCAGTCCAACTAGAATTAGTCCTAAACACACCGTTAATACATAAACACAAATTAAGGAGACCTCTCCATCCGATTCGAATCAAATTCTGTCTTCTTCATCTTCTTCCTCAATCCTCTGGGCAAGACGAATACTACATATCAGGAAACCTTAATTTCACCGAGAGATAGAAGTTATTTAATTTGCAAATGATAATAACGCTAAGACAAGATGACAAAGTACTAGCGACATGAACCCTAGGGTTAGCAAACCTCTTTCAAGGGTTCTTTTGCAAATGAAA